CAGATTTTTTATTGTTATTTTTATTTTGGGGAAGAAAATGGAAGATAGTTCACCTACTTGCATAAGAGTGCTACCTGTTCGATCTATGGACAGTTTTCTATGCTTGCAACAAAACTAGCAGCAGTAGTGGAGTTTGGAGAAGTAATCCTTTTCTTAAATCTATCTTTGCGCTCCTTTAATTTATCAAGAAGTTCTGCAATTGCTCTTTTTTTTTATCTCACTCCAAACTTTGTGATCAGCTGTAAATTTAGCATGCCTTCCTTGGAAATTCCTTTCCAAATTACTCTTGTTATTGTCTGACAACTACCCATAACAAGTCAAAAATGCAGACGATCCTTCCACATTGGTAATGAAAGCAAATGATTCAGTTCATTCTTCTTTGAATCCTCTGTTCTCATCTGCTATATTCCTTTTTTCCCTTTGGGATCCATGACCCAAGACACACCCACCACTTTGTTTACAACAGCCACCTGCCTGGCACCCCGCCCAAACATGTGTTGCAGGCTATGACACAAATCTTCATTGGCAGAAATTTGACATTTATTGTTTACATTTATTTATTATACAAATGTGTACAGCATTGAAAAACACAATTAATGTTTGTTTGACATCCAGCACACCAAATTCAAACATACAAAAAAATCCATCTTTTTCCATTTTTATACATTCTTGAATTACCGGTAGCTCCAGGGAGCTGCAAGGGGGGCATTAATGAGCCGCATGTTACTCTGGAGCCAAGCTGCCGACCCCTGATCTACAAGAATAAGCAAAGACAACATGAAATAATCAATAATAAAAGAGTTCAAAGGAGTACATGATGAAGAGTTGTTGATAATATTCAGTTCATTAGTTCAGCTGTTGTGATGCACTGAAAGGATGCCCATCAGCTTAGCAGCATATATTATATATAGCAAAGAGATGTGTGACAGTGGTCTTTGATAATTACCAATAAACGCTAGCCTAGTAAACTTGCCCCACCCGCCAGCGCCCAAAATCTTTTTTGCCTGAGAGTTGGTCTAGCCTCGATCAATGCCCAAGGCCCTAAATCTGGCGGGCCAAGAAACTCCTCATCTATTGTATAAATGGGCAATATCAGCAAGGTTGCGCTGGGTTTTCAGCTCAGTGCTTCTTCAAAGAGGGATATGGTCCCTTTCGACAAATAAAATGGATCATGTTTCTGGAGATTGCACCATGTGCAATTGTGGTGTCTAGCTGGGATGTTGGGTTCCCTTCTTGCATCAGACCGAGTCCAGGGGAAGAGAAAGAGAAAAATGTCTTCTGATGGTTTTAAAGGTGCTGCGGCTTGAGGATGTAATATCGGAGATGGACTGCATCCAAACACATCCGTAATCTGATACTCTGACTTGGGAGTTGTAGTTCTGATCTGGGAAGTTGTAGTTTTGATCCTTAACAACTGCATGCTAGTATAGTAGTTTAGCAATTGTATTAAACTGTGTAAGGCAAGAGACACATCAGAAAGCTGCAGAATGGTAAAGTAGAGCCGCTTCGCCCCCACATAAAAACGAAAGGAGTCAACTGAGGACATCTTTTTCAGATGCCCCCTGGACGTCTCCACCCGGTGATCCAGGCACGTCCCACCGGGTGGAGGCCCAGGACTATGTCCTCACCACTGACCTGAGAGCCCCTTATGCTTCCCTCAGCAGAGTTAGAGAAGGTCTAAGAAGAGGGAAGTCTGGAAGTATCTACTCAGACTTCCCAGATGAAGCGGGAGACGGCAACAAAGCCACATTTACCCCCCTCAAATGAAAGCTGTTACTGCCCTTTTCCAGCCTTCTCACTTGCAATGTGCAACAAAAGGTGAGGAGGTCTCACTTGCTGCTCTAAGATATTTTTGTTAAATTGATGTCTCTTTGCTTTACATTGTTTTTATAGACAGGGAAAACAATAACTTGACATACTTGTATTTATCAAATATTGGGACGATCTCCTAACTTTTTTCTTAAGGTCTTTGAATTACGTTTACTTTCATCATGAATTATAACAGAAAGTTATCTGATATCTATAATTCTATGATAGATTCACAAATTCCTCTATTAAACCTTAAAACAAGAACATTTTTAGAATGTGATGAGAAATTTAAGAATCATTTGAAGAATTTTACTGAGGATAATGACAATATTGAAAGTGTTTTCTTTTTAACTGAAATTTGAATTATTGGTCATGATATTAAGTAATAAAACATCTTTTGTTTCAGTTAACTTTGTATTCCATCAAAATGTGTCAAATAAATCATGAATAATGGGATGAATATTTGCAAGATAATGCAAAATAAAACCAAACATGTTGTTGAGAAGTATATTCTACCAGATAAAAGGATGAAACTAAGTCTTGTATTAGTTTTTGGTCTGCTGCCAACTGGGCAGCTGATAAATAAAAAGATGATGACAGGTGAACAGGAAAAGAGGAAGTAAGGAGGAGCACAATCCTTCTTCCCTTGATTATAGTGTGTGCAGGCGCTGGACAGTTGTTTGCATAAGGCATGCATGTATGTCCGTTTGGACTCAAGAGACACACCTGGAACAAAGCTATGCAGGGGTTTAACTCAGCAGCAATGGGTGCATTTCAGTGGTCTCCCTTTCCCATGACTCCCACTTCTAACCCCTCAGGGCAAGCTGCAAAGTCTCTTTGATAGAATTGAAGCCATAGGGGCAAAGTAACACAGACAGAACCAGACCCACAGAAGAAAACACTGACTCATTGTGATTTTTCTTTTCATTTAAAGGAAAAGTTCAGACTTTTAGTGCACAAATGTAGAATTAAGTGTTTGGATCAGTAAGTAGTGGCTGACAACCCAAGACTGACCTTGAACCTGCAATTTTATTTACCTTAAACATTTTTTATCAAAACAGGGTTTGCTGAATCATCTAAATCGGGTGTGTTGAAGCAGAGAAACATCTAAAACATGCAAGGCAGTATGCCTTGAGGACCAGGGTTGAAAAACATTGTTCTGATGGACTAGTGACCTGCCCTTGGCTGTCATTATCACCCACCCTGTGCCTGCTGGGAAAGGATTCAGCTTTCCTTTGACCCTGATTGGGACAAAGCTAGTGGAGAGAGTGAAATGGGAACAGAATCAGCTTTTTTGGTCAAATATGTGAACACACAAGAGACTGGATCCAGCTGTCAGTGTGCATAAAAGCACTAGTATGTGGACTTTTTTTTTTTTTTTTACTGTTTCAAGAATAATTTAACAAAATACAATAGAAGCACAAATGATATAGCAAGAACCCGTGATGCACGTTTTGTTGTATATTTGCAAAAAATATTTTTATATTGCTGAGCAAGTTTTAATTTATAAGTGCTCCACAGAGGCCAGTTTAAAATATGTTCTGATATGCACATCTCTGTAGTTTTCTTTCTGCTTGTTGACTCTGCTTGGAATGTCTGGTTAACTTCTCTTCTGAAGTGAATACATTTTGGCTGAGATGGCAGAGGAGGATTTTTTTAATGACTCTTCAATTCACTGAAGTCAATTCCAATTTCTCTGAATAGTTCCACCTACATTGAATTTAAAGGATTAGCAGGCTTTAGGGGGCTTGTTAGTGGGGCTCATTTAAGCTTTGGACTGATTCTGTCTGCATATTGATCATTGTCCTTGTCTTGTTTTTTGATTAGCAACAAACATCCTTTCATTTGTGCAGGACCAACAGATGAAGTGTGCAAAACGTTAAAAGGGTATAAATGTTCTTTATACCCTTTTAACGTCCTTCAATGCTTTTTGGGTTTCACAAACATATCAAAATAACATGGTGGAGTCTCTGCTATCTGATTTGTATATCTTTATATTAATTTAAAACCAGATAAAGAACAGACAATTTTGTGGGCAATCTCTAAGGCAGTGGTCTCCAACTCTGGTCCTCAAGATCTACTGTCCTACAGATTTTAGATGCATCCCTGCTTCAACACAGCTGAATCAAATGAATGGCTTGAAAAGGTAATCAATCATTTGATTCAGCTGTGTTGAAGCAGGGATGCATCTAAAATCTGTAGGACAGTAGATCTTGAGGACCAGGGTTGGAGACCACTGCTCTAAGGAAACCCTAAGATCTCATCTTTCTATTGCTGTCTTTATTTTTTTAAACCAATAATTGATGAGAAAACAAATAATACATATTAAATTTCATGAAGGCACAGAATAATGTATAAGGGATTATACATGCTCCTTGTCTGTGCTGTTCATCTATACTGTACTACAACCCTTCCTTACTTTCTGATGGCTCTTCTCCATTGCCTTCTTTGCTTTGGAAAAGGGACAGTTTTCTGAGAACAGACCTGCTTGAATTCTGAACCTCCTAAGGTCTGGATCATCCTTGGGCACCAGGATGCAATGGTGCCACATTCATCTGCTAAAACACTTATAGGCAACTATGAACATCTTGGAAAACCAAAATACATATACTCTTTGGGGAAAAGATTTGTCCCAGAAATTGAAGGTTTTTGGGGCAGAATAGGCTTCTAAACTTCAGAACAGAATATAATGGCTAAAGCTGGTAAATAGTGAAATTTTAACAAAATGATAATAAAAAATATTCAACTTTACGAATTGAACGAACATTAAATGCCAAATATAGTATGGGAATTTTATTTTACTAGTAAAACCTGCTCCCTAAGATCTCTAATATTGTTTTAAAGTAGAAGTTATTTAAAATAATATTTCCAAAAACAATAAAGAAATCAATTGATAATTTGCCCTCTTTTGCACTTTTTCTTATAACAAGAATATTGATCGAAACAGTCCTCATGTATAGGTGATTTTTGAGTTGTTGAAACAAGCTCAATGAAATCAAAATTTTTCAGAATAAATAACTTTAAACAGCTCAGCTCAGCTCAGGCGCATCTGTGTGTTCTCAGTTCCGATTGGAAAGCAGCGTCAATGCTCCTTTAAAATCAAAGGTTGCAGCGCAGCAGGGCATGGCCAGGCACCTGCTCCAAGCGCAGGGAGAGCTCCCCTCACAGTCCCCCTGCGAGGAAACACAGAAGTCACCAGCTGGGTCCGAGGAGGCGCATTGAAGGAGCCCCTAGAGACGATCAGGAACCTGGAGGGAGGACATCTGCAGTGCCACTGCTTTATCATTTACTCCCCTTCTGAAATGCACCCTGCCAAAGGAAAGGGTTGGGACAAGGAGGATCAGTCGAAGGGAGGGATGTCTGAATAACAAGGAGAGAAACACCCACTCTCCAGACTGACCGCGTCCCGAAAGGAGCGAGAGAAAAGCGAGCGCGTCAGGAGGAAGCAGCGGGAGCCCTCAGACGCTTTTGGTATTCAGAGGATCTCCTTTGGAGATAATAGGACGCTTTGAATTCATGAGACTATAGAGGTAGGAACGCGATTTGATTTATACCAATGAGTCTTTCAGCAGAGCAACACTCAGCATATAAACATCATTATTTTTGGATCAAATATTGCTTGGAAACTTTAAATCAAACAGCCATGGGCTTAATAGAAAAACAAAGACGCACCTGTGCTTTTCATGACACTTCAATTAGTGTAATTGGGAAATTCATTTGAAACTTTAAGGTCTGTTTTTTTTCAATATAATGGATAATTTTTGCGCAAAAAAAGAAAAAATATATATAATGTATATATTTTATATGTATATATTTTCCAGGGGTGCCTCGAGAAAGTTTCAGAACTTGGCTAAATATGGCTGGCACAATTAAATCAAAAGCCAGAGATTTTTGCTAACTAAATTTTTTTTAATGCTTTAGATGTACGAGGAAACAGGACTTAGGGGAAGTAGTGGTGTAATTTAAGGATGCAAACTAATAGCATAATGGCTAAATAAGCTGAATTGATAGAACTCAAAAATTATATATCTGAAAGTGTTTGGTTGGGTTTTGCATTTATGGATGGGCAATACACAACAGCATTTTAAAATGTTCTATGTTTTAAATACTTCCTAACAATTTTAGTGAATGATTTCAAACTATTCACAGCACACTATGTTAAAGAGCATATCTGCCAAATAAACAGATTAAACAGTAATCAGAGTGACGCTTGAAATCTGCTTTTCATTATTACAGGGTGGAATATCTGCCTTTTATTATTCCCAAAGATTGATGCAGAGCAGTGGAAGCCTTTGTCGTGTTAAGAATTATATGAAGAGAAGAATGGTGGGTTTAAAACCAAACCTGTTCATTTTCTGACTGATCTTTGTTTTTGTTGTAGCTCTCCTCTGTGTGTAAGGGAGGACTATTTTTGGACAAACCTTCTCATGTTTTCCTTCGTTTTTAAAATATGATCTATTGTTCTCAAATCAAAGCTGTCTTGTGAAAAATTATTGTGCACACACTCACAGATACAAACACAGACAATATGTCCCTTTTCTTATCTTTCCCGTTATCCATTCATTGTGCATTTACTTCAATAGCCTTAACCAGACCCTAATTTAATCTTTACCAAAACATACCTTAGCCTAAACTTAATTCACACATAAGTCTTAAATCTAACCTCTAACCTAAAAAGAGAAGTTATCCTCATGAGGACCAGTCATTGGTCCCCACAAGTACAGTACCTGTAAGTCCCTATAAAATAGCATATGGTGGGGAATTTTCACCAGGTAACAAATATGTGGCTGTCTAAATATATAAATACATTATATGTGTGTCATTAAATAAACCCTATAACAAATATATAGAACAGATATCTGATCTATATTTGGATTGATTTAAATATTATTTCTGAGAAACAAACCCTATCATTTAGAAATTTTCACAAAAAAACCATCTGTTTTTGCTGCATGGAGATGCTCTATTTCTTCCCCCCCACCCCCCCACCCCCCAAATAAAATTTCACAGCTCCTTTGTGTAGAAATTCTCAGTGTAGAGCACAATTATTTACATGTGTCATGATCTGCTTTTCTGGACTTTTTGGTTCTGTTCAAGTTTTCACTCTGGGTTGTCAGCTATCATGGATGAAATTTTGATTTCAGAAGTTGGGGGGATGCAAGGACCACAGACCCGACTCAGTGGTACATAAGATGTTTGTAAAGTGAGCCTCTCAGGAGTCACAGCGGTGACAGCCAATCACACAAGAAAAGACGATGGGCCAATCAGGAGCTGGTGGGCCATCTAAACTCAGCAAAGTGGGCTTTAGTTTTAGCCACTTGGTCCTAGTGCTCGACCAATGTCTGTGTACTGTAGCATAACATTATTTTTGGACAGTAAAATGTGCAGGGGACCAAACCGACGTTGCTGGGGACATGTCGACTTGTTCCCCCCCAAAAAATTATGTCCATGTCAGCTATGCTTTAATTTTTGTTATTCTGTGTTTGCTTTTAAGTGTCATGGTTTTGGTTATATTGTGCTTTACTTTGCTCTATGTTCCCTAGTTTTATTGGTGTAATTCCTTTTTTGTTGTAATTTCTAGATTTATGTTAGTTCTCATGTTTTTCTGTTGTCCTCTGTTGCCCTCTTGTGTGTGTATGTTTCTTTCCCCTTGGCTCCCTCGCTCTCTCCTCTCACACCTGCTCCTTGTCAGCTCGTTAGCCCTGCCATTGTCTCTGTCAGCTATATATGCTTTGCCTCTGCTCTCACTCTTTGTTGGTTCCTTGTTGTTGCTGGTCCTGTCATCGCTGTTGTCATCTCACCTCGTCTCTCCCTGGCTCCTTGTACGTGTTTTCCCTTGACGTCTCCGTGGTTCTGGTCTGTTACATTTTTAGTTCGATTCTTTGGATTCCTGCTTTTGTTAACCATTTTCATCATTAAAACTACAAATATTCACCTCAGCCTCTCTGCCTCTGCATTTGGGTCCTCCAAACCACTACCAAACCCTGACATAAAGATTTATATATTTTTTCCAATTACCTTTTAGTTTAACTCTTCCTTGGCATTTATTTCAGTTATCTCTTTTTAGCATTCTTGGTATGATTTTAACCTTTGCTGTAGTTTTTTATATTAATGGTTTTCTGTTATCTTTAGGGGCCGCTCAGTGGAGCAGTGGGTAGCACTGCTGCCTTGCAGCAAGAAGGTTCTGGGTTTGATTCTTTCTGCATGGAGTTTGCATGTTCTCCCTGAGCATGCGTGGGTTCTCTCCGGGTACTCCAGCTTACTCCCATAGTCCAAAAACATGAATGTTAGGTGAATTGGCTTCTCTAAATTCTCCTTAGATGTGCATAAATGTTTGTTAGTCCTCTTTGTCTCTCTGTTGCCCTGCAATGGACTGGTGACCTGTCCAGGGTGTACCCTGCCTCTGGACCTTTGACAGCTGGAGATAGGCACCAGCACCTCTTGCAACCCCGCTTGGGATTAAGCGTGTAAAAGATGGATGGAAGGATGGATGGATGGATGGCAAATTAATAAAATTCTGAACAAAACCATCAATTTTATTTTACTAGTCAACAAACCAGAAAGACCTGATGGACATTGATAGCAATCTCCCTTACTTATTTGTATGTAAGGTTCGAACCAATCTGTTCTGTCCATCGGGTCATTTATCCCTTCTTCTGTAAATGATCCATCTGTTTTTGCTCCTTGCTAAGCTTCAATCAGATTGAGCCTGTTCCAATTTACTTTTTGAATAAAATAGTTTTGCTAAATTAAACCTTCAGGTTCTTCTTCTAAAAGTATCCCTGCATGTCTTTATAAAGGTGTTTTTTTTATTGACCCTCAGATGTGACCATCTTGTATAGAAGTATTGCATATAGATTAGTTTGAAATTTTTTAAGCATGCATGGGTAAACCTTGTTATAAAAAAACCTGGCCTGATCATGTTTTGACTGATTTCAAAACTACAGATTTTTACAATATTGTAAAAAGAAAATATATTTTTATTCACTTAAATAACTTCCTGAAAGAAACAGGATTTTGGAGACTTTCTTGACTGGTTTTAAACGTCTATATATCACAGAATCAGCATTTATTAGGGTTTTGATGACGTCCCTTTAGCAACTCTTTATAAAGGTTTTGTTATTTTTGTACTTTTAGGCCTTTTAGCTCTGGATATTGCTGACCACACTATTCTTATATGCTATTTCTAACTACTGAGGATTAAAAGAACTGCATTAAATTGGTGCTTAAATACCATGCAGGAAAGAAGTTTTATTTCTTTTTTTTACAGAACACTTAAATTCTGTTTCTTTATCCTTCTCTCCCTCCTCTGTTCTTATCTGATTCTCTCTCATTTAAATTTTCTCTTTTTCTATTTTTCCCCTTTATTTTAGTCTCCAAGTCCATATTGTTTGAAATAAACCCAAAATAAGAAGTTTTTTTTTCCACTTACGTTTATATTTCAAGTGCATTATTAAAGCTGAAGCTGTAATTGTGAACTAGTTAAAGTATATTTGTTGGGTTTCTCCTGGGCATAAAGAACAATTGTTAACTATACACTCCCAGAGAAGACAATTAAGAATTCTTAATTTAGCTTACCTTTCCTTTACAGTCCCTCACGGTTCAATTCTCTTTCAGTTTATCTGTTAGGCAGCTGACTGTTAGATTTATCTCCAAAAAGTTTGGAAAGCCAAACAGTCCATGTTTCATCCAACCTCTTCTGAAGTGACTGGATGATGTCAAAGCATTGGTGGCTTTAACTTTCTTTGGTGCCTTTTTAGAAAATCCCTAAGATCTGTGTGTTTTTAGCAAAAATCCAAAAAGAGAACACACCTTGCACTTGCTTACCTCCATGTAAATTGCCTTTTTGAATTTCAGCTGAACCTTAACATATGCATGCAAGGTTCTGCCCTCTATACTTCCAAATATAGCCATACTGGTCAATGCATAGTACCTCATGAGTGTCGGTGTGTATATAAATGAGCCAGCTGACCAATTTTAGTTCAAGGTTACAACAGAAATCATGTAGGAGAGAGAGAGAGACAGAAAAAAACATAAAAAAGAAAACAGTGTAACCAAAGCAGATAGACGTGTGGATGAGTGAAGTGTAGAGTTACAAAACTATGTGTGGTAGCAACAGTAGTGGGCTGACAAATAAAACAAAGTATTCAATAACAACATTTAGTTTAGCACTGTTGATCTTAGATGTCATTTTAAATAATTATTTTGTACATAAAAGAAGCTTCGCAGAAAGTTGATGAATATCTTTAACACCAATGGGCTACTTTTGCTAATAAGAGCCTGTTGCCAGGAATGCCAGAATTCTCAAAAGTTTAAGAGTAAAAAAAAATTACCAGCACTCTATGGCATTTATACATTTAAAATTTATTATGAGCTATTTCCAAATCTCTGTATAGATTTGCAGATGATCTTGCATCTTTAATAAAATGACTCTGGCATGTACAGTAGGAGAAACAGTTTTTTCCCCCATATTAAATATATAATTCATACATATCTACAATTTATAAATTTATTAAAGCCATATATATACCACAGAGTGCTGGTTATCCATGTTTTATTATGTTTCTGTAGAACCATGCACTCAGCTATCCTCCCCTTTCTTCTTACTTTGAAGATGTGTGCAATGACCTGCTTTTATTTAACACCTATTTAACGGGGGGTGGGGGTGGGGGGTGGATGCTGTGTAGCTTCATCCTTTACCTCACTATCTGTGTCTCTAGCTTCTCCTGTATCCTAACAGAAAGTATGGGTCAGAATTGCCGTAAGGACCTCACATTTATTTTTTGATTACCTCTTTTGTGTAGAAACAGGTATGCAAATTTCTGGCCCCTTTTTGTTTGTAAAAAACCTTTATGAGTCCCCTGAGAAAAATAGGCAAGATTTTATTCAGTCCCAACAGTCCTTTCCACACCCCTCTTCCTAAGCTCAGTGATCCACGACCATAGTTATGTTTGTCAAACCCTGGTTTTAGTTATGCATTTTAATAAACAGGTCAACAGTGTTTGGTAGAGAAGTTTCTTTCAATTACACCAGGATGTGAAACCAACCAAGCATTTCAAATAAATTACCTGGAAATAATAACCCATGGTTTTATTACATTTCATTCATTAAAAGCAGATTTCTGTGATGTTATCGATGGGATCAGTCAGCCTCTTCAGCTCATTCAGGATGCTGCAGCTCCTCTTTTACATGCAAACATTCTCTGCTTGCTGACAGTTTTGAAGTATTGACTGACAGTTGGCTTGTTTCTAATTTTATCAAAGTAATTTTTTATTATATTGTTCTTTTAGCTTTAAAATTATTATTAGTATGCCCCCTTCACAGAAGAATATCCTGGATAACTATTGCATTAACTAGCACAGGTGCAGGGTTTTTCTTACTTTGAATACATTTTTTCTGTCCGTGCTTTCTATTAATTCTCAGCCAGATTGTGCGGATCCCAACAATTGTGATAAGATGACTTTAATGAGAGGCAGATTGGGAGATGAGGCATGTGACAGAGGGGTGCAGAAAAACTAAACAGCAAAATGGGGAGTTAGGAGGAAAAGTGAAGGGATTCTTTCATGTTTGCTCTTTTTCCATCAGAGAATAGAACCTATCAAATGTTTCCTCTCTGGGCTGCTCGTCAAACTCTGGTCCTCCTCTTTGTCACTGTGTCTTCTCGTCTGACCTTTTGTTAATTTCTCAGCTCTTTCCTTCTTCCAAACAAAGTTCTCTGTGTCTTCCCTGACCTACTCTGTGTAGGCGTGAGGCTCGACCACTGCTCTGTGGCTTGTCCAGACTACTGAAAGCTGCTCTGTAATTGAAGAAAAAAGTGGATTAGGAGATAAATAACTGATTCTAGATGAGATGGTTGGAATTGCATGGGTAAGGTGGGTCTTGACCCCCCTTGAGTCTCAAACAGCTCTGTGGCATTCAGGGTACTACTTTTCGTTTTCTTTACGCCGTTTTTCTTCACTGACTCAAAATGATATTTTTCTTCTTCTATACAGGTCTAGACACCTAATTTTGAGGATGTTTTTGATGGGAGAGGTCAGGTGGCGTCTGCTGGCCTTGCTGGTTTTGCTTGCCTTTGTTTCCTGCCACCCCAGTAAGGCTGAGAGTCAAGGTAAGAACTCCTTTGTCATTTTTCTTTGTCGACTTCTAATATCCATGTAACATTCCCCCAGTACCGAGTCATTCAGATTTTTCATATCATGCTCAGCAAACCTACTCACTCCTCATGTTTTCCTCCCACCACGCCTCACCTCTTAGACCCCCAGCACTTCCATATCAGACACCATCCTCCGTTTCCTGCTGCTGGTTTTTACCCTTTCAGCTCCCTTTGTTGTACTGTATCTCTCCCCCATTAATCTCAGACTCAGATCAGATCCCATCAGGTCCATGATTATAGCATCTTGGTATCATTTTACCTTTTCTCCCGCCAGGAGCATGGCACCTCCTGCTAATGTCTCACAATTGTAATGAACGTGTTGTAAGGCCACACTTCATCCTGTTGTGATTTCTCATCGCAATTTGCTGCACAACGCATCACACTTCATTGTGCTTTGCAATTAGATGTCTAATTTCAATTTGATCAAACTGAGCCTCATCAAGAAGAGGTTTGTCTGTGCGAGCTTTTTAATCAGAGAATGTAAAATATCCAGCTGCACTTTTTGACTTGCTCCTGTCAACATGAAGCTGCTGTGTTTAATGACATAATAAGTAATGATGCTCCTCGCTGAAAGACAGCTTTAGCTGTCTTAAACTTGGCTTCTCTTTATTGATTTATGTAAAATTACCAAACATTAACGGATGGAAACTTTTATGATTCTGTTCTTTAAACCCACTTTTAAGAAAAATATTTAACATTGAAAAGATGCAGGCTGAAATATAGAAGGTACATCAGGAAAACTAGACATTTGAAGATGATGGATAATAGAGTGACTGGCGACCTGTCCATGGTTTACCTGCCTCTCGTCCGTAGATAGCTGCTTGGGATAAGGGGGATGGAAAATGGATAGATGGATAGATGGATAATAGAGTGATAATGGACAGATAAATAAACAGGATTATGAATGGATGCGTGGATAAGGTGGATATATTGATGCATTTACTGGATAAACAAAATAAATCTATATACCAGGGGTTTCTGCACCCTTTTCTTCATAGCTGATGTTCTGCATCTTTTAGCTGACCTGACTGAAATGAATGGTTACACTCAGGGATAGCTGTAAATGGAGGACTGTCGCTTCCAGGTAGTGGACTTAAAGACTCCTGCTTTACCCACTAGTGATTGAAGTTTGGAAAAAGTTTTTCCTTTCTATATGTCTTTCATACTGTAGCCTATCCAGACCTAAAAATGACTTAAAGAAGTCCCATGTATTTCCAGCTGAGTGCAGAAATCCTGCGGAAATTCCTATCACCAATGCTCTTTTTAATGATCTATTAAAACTCAGACTACACATCACACATATCCAGTGCTAATATTTATTCTCTGACTGAAAGATACGATAACTGCTAAAACCATTATTTTTTAAGCTTGGTGATATTCTGTTTTCAATCTAATGACCGAGTTTCTATTTCCAACATTATGTAGCTCATTAAACCATGGAAGGGTTTATTTGCATTTGGCATCTATTGTTACAAACTTGTCTTGTGTGGAAAGCTATCATGGGGTCATAATGCAGAGGGAGGGTTCAATATCTAGCTCTTCTCAGTTTGCATAACTACATGTAGATGTGTCAGGAGCTTGTATGTCTTTTTAGGATTCCCAGTCATAGTAAAGCTGAAAAGCTGATGGGCTCATATAAAGAATGAAAATGTTAAAAATGCTATTAATAGCCCTCAATCAAAGAGCTCACCTAGTGGTTCTAAACCATGGAAACAAAAGCTGCTCGTATTGCCACTCTAGTGTAATTACTGGATGTTATTAACAGTTTACTAACACATTTAGCGATGAACACACAACATTTAATGCTAATCACAAAACACTTCATTAATGGTATAATTAGTTAATAGAAACAGTATAGAGAACTTAGAGGTTCTCTTGCTAACAGCCTTATAAAGATATGAGTTATTTATTTCTTCTCTTTACCTATACCTCTGGAAGTAGATTTGTCCATGAGTGTCTGGACATTCTGGATGTTCAGTTCAGATAAACCACAAGCACAACGTTTAGAGATCTCAAACTTTATATAAAAAAACAAAAAAAAAAAAAACAATCAAACAACCTTAGTTTGAATCTTTCTCCTCCATTCCATACAATCTTCTCTCTTACTTCATTACATCTGTTGTTTTACTTCTGTTTCCTCCACATTATTTTGCCAATAGTTTTGTTCTCTTGAATCTGATCAGCTTTTCCTTCTTTATTTCTTTAAATTTTTACAGTATCATTTTAATCAGGCACAGCTAAACAAGAGCGACCTCCCACGCACTGGAGGAAGCGTTCTCCTGTTCAGTCTCTTCATTAGTCAGGGTATGACAATCATTAAAGTCTCCCGGGTCAGCCTCTGTAAGCTGCAACATCTGGTCGCAAAGGATTTAAGCTTAAGGATTACAGAGTGCTCCGCTCATTCAGGATGTTTGTGTATAGCACTTAAATGTCTAGATATTGTCAGGAAGTCCCTCTAAAAGAGTGACCTAGACGAGGAAGGAAGTGTTGCAAATGATCTTGAACTGGTAGACACTTTGCAGAAGGTGTCTGTATTGTTGCATCCCTACATACAGCTTATCCAGTACAGTTTTTGAAAGTATCCGTTTAGTTTACGGGAATTCTACTTGTTTTAGTTCGAGGCTTAATTTTCTTCGAATGCTCCTCCATCAACATTTAAAGTTTCAGTCTCTTTCTGACCAAGAGCTGAAAGTTGCTCAGACTTAAGGTAAATATTTATCCGACATTGCAGATGCTTTCATTCTAACCATTTGTAAATGTTAACTTTAGCACATGTATTTATGACGTGGCAGACGCACGCTTTTGACCTGCATTCAGCTGCTTCTCACTGTCAATGAAGCCTCCAGTTTGTGGTGTCGTTTCATACACACCACTGATAAACCTGATCGTTACACCTGAACTGCTAACACTAGATTTAAATGAACAGAGGCTCCTATTTCAATTCTCCACTGAATGTAGGCCTAGGCTGTGATTAGACAAGGCAGATTTTTGTGCCTAAACATGAACACCAGCAAACTATCATGCTTACAGCGGTACTGCTAACAAGAAGATTTCATACTATATTTAGTGTACTGTAGCAGCAAAGGCTTCAGGTAGCCAGTCCTCTGTAAATAAACAATTCAGGGAAAGAGGAACAAAACAATTACGCTCTCATACATCCCTATAATTTCTATGCTGTTTCATTTTTCATGAGACACTCCAAGTGTTAACATGCCAGTATGCTTCTGCAAAAGGTCAGGAAGTTTCTTAACAATATTAGGATTCAGCCTCACAGATGTCTGGTTTATTATTTATGAATAATCTTTCCCCTGTCTTCTACTTCTTCGCGACCTGAGACACCCTTCTTGCTACAGCCGTTCTCCAGCTCACTCTACAGGAGACCAAGTTACTCCTGGGGCAGAACAAAATATCGACCTTCTAGTAACTTCAAGGTTGATTTTTGGGTCTCTTTCCAGTGGAAGTTGATCGCAGACCCTCCAAACAGAGACAGCCATATGTAATCTATGCTTAAACCATCTCAACTGACTGGGTTTAGCAGAGGAGCTTACCTGAATACTGCAGCCCTGACCTTATCCTCAGAGGCTAGATCCAGCTAACAAACGGAAAAAACAAATTTCAGCCACTTCTATGCAGGATGCCATTTTTGCTATGATCTGTTCCTCCTGGCCACAGATGTGGAGTGTAACAAGGATACTGGGAGGCTCAGGGCAATAGCCTAGTTTCAAGAAAAGTAGTTAAATTAGCTTTATGACTTGTTCATGAATGATGGTAGGTTGCAGTGGGAGATGGATCAAGGGATAGAAAGAGCTGAGCCAAAAAGCAAAGCCCTGTAACAGGGTTTTTCATATAATTGTGTACAATTAGTTTTTGTAAAAGAAGCAACACGTTAGAGTCACAGAATGAATTCTTGGAACACAGATATTACCTCCAAAGTAGGAGAGAAATATGACTATACAGAATGGTTATGGTACATGTGGTACACCTCTTCCCACCTTAGTGAGAACTCTTTCCATAAACGAGAAAGTTGTTAATAAACTCTTCAGAAGACAGAACCCCTGGAAAGCTGCTGGACCAGAGTCTCTCCATCATCCTTGAAGCTCTGCTGATCAGCTGTCACCAGTGTTCACAGACATTTTTAGCACCTCACTGGCGACATGTCACCTGCCAACCTGCTTCAAATCCATTATTATCCCTGTTCCTTTGAGTGCCTTGTGCTTCACATCTGAAAGAGATCACTGACCACTTCCTGGACCCCCTACAGTTGCCTACAGAGCCAACAGGTCTGCAGACGACGCTGTCAACTTGGCTCTTCACTACATCCTCCAGCACCTGGATTCTGCAGGAACCTAGGCCAGGATCCTGTTTGTGGATTTCAGCTCTGCCTTCAATACAACCATCCCAGCTCTGCTTCAGGAGAAGCTCTCCCAGCTGAGTGTGCCTGACTCCACCTGCGGGTGGATTACAGATTTCTTGTCTGACAGGAAGCAGGACGTAAAGATGTGAAAACATGTCTCCGTCTCACAGCTCATCAGCACTGGTTCCCCTCAGGGCTGTGTTCTTTCTCCTGTGCTCTTCTCCCTGTACACCAACAACTGCACCTCCAGTCATCGTCAAGCTTCTGAAGTTCACAGATGATACCAGTCTCAACGGGCTTATCTCTGATGGAGACGATTCCGCCTACAGATGGGAGGTTGATCAACTGGCAACATGGTGCAGGGAGAACAATCTGGAGCTCAAAGCTCCAAAAACAGTGGAGCTGAACATCCAACTACCTCACCAAGAAAGCCCAGCAGGGGATGTACTTCCTGTGGCAGCTGAAAAAAACTCAACCTTCCAAGGACAATGATGGTGTACTTCTACTCCTCCATCTATGAGTCCATCCTCACCTCCTCCATCACTATCTGGTACACTGGTGCCAAGGATACACTGGACAAGGACAAGGTTAGACTGCAGTG